TTTCGAAACATCAAAAATACTTATCACACTAGTTTGCACTATCACGTGTGTGCTCAGGGTTTTTTTAGTAGAAGACTTGTCACAATTGTTACACTGTATGGCTGTAGATCAGTACAGTCTCTGGTGTGTTCGTCCAAGTTGCAAGTTTAATGTTTGTGACTAAGACGATAACATGTCACGTGTTTCGTCAGCCATTTTGGATTCACTCATAGGTGAGAGTTAAATTTTTAAACATTTCTCCTTTGTTGGCAATATAGCCTAGCATATAAATCATTTAAACCTATGATGATTGTATTGTGAATATATAGGTGACCATATTGAATAGACACCACAACCTGTACCATATATAACACCACAAACTGTACCAAAGATGATATAAATCAATTTAGTGGTCAATCGCAAAAACAAATGTTTAACAATTTCTTTCTCATGGAGGACAATGCAGAATTTTTACCAAGTAAAATAATATTTATAAATTTATTGTACGTACACGAGTTGCTGAACACGCTATATATTTTATATTTTTATTCAGCTGCTTTCAGTCACAATTTAAGACAAAATATCGAGAATATACCTAATTATATTCCGTCTTTAATATTCATGTCTAATTAGTATTTATAACAGTTATTATTGGTGTGTATATGAAATATATTTCGTAATGAAATATACTTTATATATTTCTCAATTCACTTGTCAAAATCATTTTTTTTCAGTTAGTTTGTTTGTTTTTTCCGAAAAAGGAAGAATTTCACATATCGAAAACGGAAAGTCTTTATCGTAGGATTTGCTATACTGGTGAGAAGCAATTGAATTGTACATGCATTGTATAGACCCTCAATTGTACCCCTGTGATGCTGACTAGGGTTTTAAACTTGTCATTATTCATTCATACGGTGATCTTGATACCAGTTTAAAATGTACGACCTTATACACATTTGTGTCTCATCTAGTGAGCGAGTAAGTAATTCATTACATTTTAACATATTCGAAAAAGTATACGAAATCATTGGAAATACTTATTTTTCTATTTGCAGCAATAACATTATATTAAAACACAAATATAACACATAAATCAAGAAACCTACAATAGTTAGCAATTAAAGCAATTTTTCAATTTAAACATATTTACAACACAATGAAATAGAATTTTTTGACACGTATTATGACATTGCTACATGGCAATCATGCTCTAACTAACTTTATTTTGAATAATTACTTGGGACAATGATTACTAAATATTATCTATTATATATCAGATTATTCGGTCCGAGCAGCGTTTATCTCTTTACTGTACTGATGCACTGAACACGCGCACTTTGGCACCCATGTAATTAAATAGATAATATCATAAATCCATCTGCGAAATAAAGTGATAAAAATACACGAAATATAGTCAACACTATAAAACACAAGGAACTAGTCATTACAAAATTTGTCAGTGTCAATGCAGACACAAAATATATCGCGTTTTGACACCACCGATATTCTTTATAGCGGTCGCACCAAGATGTGGACAAAGTAACCATTTTTTTAAAATTTGATATTAACATAATATTAAGACTATAACATACCTTAATTAAAATTTAACATACACTACTGCTACATTAATTACTTAACAAGCTAATACATTGTGTTACGACACAAATGGAAATAATGTTTAAATAATAACAAAAAGATGATACTTTACTCTCGAAAAATGAATATATCCCTTTCATTTGAAGTAAGCAGTAATCTATTGTTTTCTTTCTTACAACATTCATCACGCATATAATCTAATATTTGCTTTTTAATTTCAGGTTTGCAATTTTCCTGAAATTTGTAGATTTGTGTGCAGAAATCAATAATGCATGACCCAAGTTGAGATTCCTCATCAAAACATTCTGTGACGTCAATCCAAAATTCCCTTTCTTTAGTTTGATATCTGACATTCGGAATAATACGGTTGAATATATCTTCTATGGTGTCGGCTCCAATGGAGTTATGATCAGGAATTGTGTAATATTCATCAACTTTTTCAGATAGCTTCGCCCATCCTCCTATAGAGAGAAAAAAGAGATATTCATAAGTGGATTGTTAAACTTAGTTCAACCAATCACACGAGTATATCAGAAATCACGCCTAAATATTGTTGATAGTGGTGGTTTTGGAATATGCGATATACTTTCACGGGGGGGGGGGGGATTCCTGGTACAGGTCACAGGAAATAAAAACGGCATTTTACTTGTTTACGGGGAATAAAATGAAAGTTCCATTTACAGTAAAAAATAAGTTTTTACACTTTACAGATAAAGCAAATTTCTAATTACTTTACATTTTTATAATATATTTGATAATTTGTGTTTAGGAATCAAAATTGAAAAGTGGAAAATACTTTATACGCCGCTTACAAAAACAAATATGTTTGTACAAATTACAGACGAATAAAATAGCTGATTACGTTTTACACCTTGCACCCGTCTACGATTTTATGTTTTTTATTTATTTAAATTACATTATTACGAAAGTAAAAAGAATTGATTACAGCTTACGACGAGTACAATTTACATACATACATATGTCATAATGATACATACCACAATCCATCCTGGTGAATAGTATTCCACCTGTAACCAAGCAGTTATATAAGTCTAATATTGTACGCTCCACATCTTTGAAATGATATGCAGACTGTGCTGCGAAAATCATTCCAAATTTCGTAGCCTGCTCATTCTGTAAAAACTCCTCAATCGTAGCAGCATGGAAGTCAAACGTAACGTTTCGCCATGTGTCCTTTTTAGATATCACCAATTGTTTGAAGTTGGTGAGTTCATCAGCGACAGGTTCAACAGCCGTGTACGTGATATTTGGGTAATTAGTCAGCAGGTTGTCTATGACTGGCTCATCCTTGGTTCCTGCAACAACATATTGTAGTACAATGTGTTAATGATAAAATTTATCCCGACAATTTAACTTTATTGCAGCTAATAATACCTCTACATATGTATTGAAATTCATGTTCGTTTTACAAAATCTCTTTCTATTTTATCCGTATTAAATTTGTTTACTGACGTATTATTTCCTATGACTTTTACGTTCTGTCATTCAGGCCTAAACTTTGGATTCTGCCGTTCGACGATAGCGATTTCGTCTCTGCTCTTTGGAAACAGCATGCTTCTAACCGGTCTTTATCTACGCGGGATATTTATTTGATCCTAAAGACTTATATTATTTCACATTATGTCGATGCTAAATAATTATATCAGTTGTAATATTTTATATTATAATATCTTATATATATACATTGATAATCTGATTGGTATTTTGTTGATGGGCTGCGCATCTTTCCACTTGAAATTACCTTCAATTTGACTTTCTCGAAGATGTTTTTAGGACATTTGAGAAAGGTGTATGCAGTGTTATGCATATTCAGAACGCTGACAGTAAGATCATAAACTATACACAAGTATTTATTTTTTCCCAAACAATTGATATTATTTTGCGTTGGTTTTCAAGACTTACCATTTCCACATCCAACAGACATCACATGCAAGGTCTTGGTTCGATCTAGATCTAATTGCATAACGATTGTTTTTACGTCATCATTCCTTCGCTCGATTTCACCTGGTTTTCCACATAATTTTATCTTGACAAAGCATTCATGATAATATTGTTGATAGTGAATGAGTGTTTTGATTGCCTCGTTCATATCTGCATTAGAAAAATAAAACAACAAAAAACATTACTTTCTGGCAAATATTTAATACCAAAACATTAGAATTGTGTTCAACCCCCCCAAATATTAAAGTTACTACCATACGAATCAATTTCTACTCGCTGTCAACATTTGAGACCACGGAATAAGAATCCAGGGTTTGTGAGAAAATACATTTAAAAAACAAAAAAATTAACAAAACAAACAGTTTCTTTCACACGATTCCTGACTTATTATGTACTATATGCAATTTTCTTTTTATTT